AAATTTTTTCACCGGGTCTGATGTACATGGCAATTTTGGTGAGTTTTCGAGTATGTTTAGGGCCTCAAAAACGCGTGTCTTTGGCACGAATAATAATAATAATCCGAGCAGTTCCAATAGGGTCTTCGCACCCTTTTGGGTGCTCGGACCCTAATAATAATAATAATAATCCGAGCAGTTCCAATAGGGTCTTCGCACCCTTTTGGGTGCTCGGACCCTACTAAAGGCTGCAGGCTACAAGCTTCTATATATTATTAGTACCACTAAAATATCTTTAAAAAAACACTGCACAAGTGTTATTAAATCATACTTTTTCTCACTTATCCACATTTTTCTTTCTTGAGGAGGAGAGCATTCTTCCTTCCTCCTCATTCTAAGTGAATGGCAGGCAAAGGGATGCACTTTAAAGCCGATTAAGTGGAGGAAATTACATTTCCATACTGAGCAGTGGTCGCATTTTTGTACCTGAGAGCTCTTTCCATCTGCTCCCTTTAGGGATGGAAACGCGATCAGGTCAGGACAACTTTGGTTTTTGCTGGTTTAATCATTTCTCGCGCACATGAGTGAAAATTGAAGTCACCTATGGGACAGTTTAACCTGTTAAGGTCAAAACCGTTTCCACCTTCAGCATCATTAACATCTGCACCACAAAATGTAGATAACGGAAAAAAGCACAAGTAGGTCACCGTAGCTTTTCTGAACAACATTTGTTAAATAATAAAAAACACATTTAGTCGTATTATATCAAATAATCCAGAGTTGAGAGCAGGAAAGGCAATCCGTTTTAAAAACTGTCTGTTTGCCAAACCTGTAAATGCATAATGTAGAGTCCAGATAGCACTTGCACTCCCATTTATCTGATTATGTAAATCTGACAGTAATTCACCTCGATTTCATGCCCTCTGTGGCCTGGCATAATCTCAGCCCCGATGACTGTGGCTCAGTCTGGGCTCAGTGCCAGGAAGCAGACTGACAAGGCCTCCATGGTGTGTTGACATGGTCATTATGACAGCTGCATATTGATGTTTTTCAGCTGTTTGCAGTTTGTAGCCTCTTAGCAGTGACCAGCACAGTGAAAGTCCTTAGTGTGTACATGCAAGAGTTTCATTTTTTATGAACTCTGCTCAAACAAATGCTCTTCTCATCTTAGACACTTGTCCAGAACACACCAGTAAAAAAAAAAAAAAAAAAAAGGCTGCACATAGCTATTGATGTTCCTTTCAGTTTATTTTCCACTGCCTACAGTATTTGGTTGTGCAATGGATGCATGCATTTAGGTGTGTGTTTATCCAGCATCTCCTAAGACTTCTCATCGCACAAACAAGTTTAAAATGAAGTTTTAATGACCTGTGCTTGTCTTTCTTTTTTTTTTTTTATTTCCAGTCGAACTGGTAAAGAACCGATAGAGAGAAATAGAACATTACTGATAGATTTTAAGTTTTAGACATATGTTAGAATGTGCCTAACCAGATGTTCACATTGTAGTCTGTCCAGATGGCAGAGAAGATATATACGGAACAAAAAATATAAACGCAGCATGTAATGTTTTGTTAAATTCTGTCCATTCTTTTTAACATAAGGGGAGTAAGAATTTGCTGTTCCAATGCACGGCATCTTTACAACAGATTGTATCCAATGAAACAACCAAGCACGTACTGTGTAATGGGCAGATTGAGAGTGAGGAACAGATTTTACAAGTCAGTCAGTTTTTCTTGTAGGCGAAATCCGCAAAGAATAAGTCCCGAGGTCAACGAGCATTTTCGAGGACAAGGACCATGCTGTTGGTCACGTCCACCAAGAGCATCATGTGGCAAACTGTCTGTCGTACCACGCTGTCTCAAACTATTCCTTAGATGATAAATGGTGGAGTTGTGGGCATTCAAGTGGCCTGACAGACATGCCAGCACCCAGCATGTCAGCAGCCTGTTCTCGTCTTTCTCTTGTCATCTGTGGCATCGAGTCATTTGAATATGGGTGCAATTTTAAGGTGGCCCTTTACAGTCACCTTTCAAAGAAGTGTCTGGTCGCATACCCTTTAAAGTCACTCCTGACCAGCACGTGAATTAACTCTGTGGTGGAGAATTAGTGCTCTTTTACTGCTTAATTGGTTAAATTGAACCCTTTTCCAAACACATGCGTCATCTGCTAAACAGAACTATTTTTAAAAATTTCTAACGACGATAACACAAGTTACTTTCACTCCTATCCCAACTGTTGCCACCAGCAACGGAGATACAGTGGACTAACAGACATTATCGGATTTTATATCCTCGTCTCAGACAGTTCACCTGCTAGATGAACTCTTATTACAGCTGTGTTCTTGGTGTCACATGGATTTGCCTACAGTTTTTGGCATGAAAACCTTCTGTGTTCTTCTGCATTAAATGCTAGCTTAATAGGACAGCAGTAGCTCGTTTGAAGTTGAGAAGTTGAGTTTTGAATGTGTTACATATCATTTATTTATTTAAACAATCTCGCCATTGCTAACTAACCGGTACACTGATATATCTCCGATGTTTTTGTTTGTGTTGGTTTGTGTGTGTGTGTACAGTGCCGAAAGACGGCCTGAAGAGCCAGGCCGTTTTTGATGAGATCCGGATGACGTATATAAAGGAGCTGGGAAAAGCTATCGTCAAGAGAGAGGAGAACGCCAGTCAGAACTGGCAGCGTTTCTACCAGCTAACTAAGCTACTGGACTCCATGCAGGAGGTTAGAAACACACACACACTGTACCGTATGTCAAATGTCTTGTGTTTTTGGTCGACTTTGTTCTATGCAGAATTTTCCACAAGTGCATTTACATATGCTACTTTAAATGGATGATGTTTATGTTCGGGTTTTTGAAGTATCCTGTTTTTGTGTTTGTGTATGTAAATATCATATCTAGATTTCAGAAACTAGGATAATCCTTTTTCTAGGCTTTGAGAAACCTGATTATGTTAGCTGGAGATAAATGTTACACTGTGACATCTTATCCCAGCTTCTGATCACTGCCAACTACCTGCGCAGGCACGGCTTTAGCCAAGCAGTGCTTTTACCTTTGTTTCCTTTGGTTTCATGAGTGGTTCAACTGGGTCACGCAGCTGTTAAGGGGATGCCCTACTCATACAGAAATTTTCTCTTTACTCGGAGTCACTGCGCTCCATCAAAATCACCATATCTCACCAGCTGCGTATGTCCACCCACCACTTCCTTGTCCTACATGCTGATACTGACAGTCTGACACCAGTCAAAACAGAGGATTAGTGAATATTTCTTGTCACTGGAAAAGTCAAATTTGCAAACTGGTGTTGCATTTTAATAGCACGAAGCCTACTATAGGCTAAAATGATTTCATATTCAATTGCCAAAGTTACATGAATTTCCAGTTACAATTTCAGTTTGTGTTGTGATAGCACGCATTAATCAATAACCAGGATACGAGTATTTATGATGTCAACAAAGACATGAATGGTGTACATCATATACCACGACTTCCTTTAATGTCTTTTTCACAACAGCCAGGGTTTTTATTTGACATCTTGTGGTTCAAGTAGCTTTAATCAATAACTTTTTGTTGAGCCTAGTTGCCTGCATCATGCTGATTAGTGTAAATCCTTGAAATACACTCAGATTCTGCTCTCCACTGTAAAGCCTCTTTATTGCACAAGTAAAGACCTCCTGCATATAGACCTGAGGCTGCTTTAAAGATAATCCTGCAAATTGAAACCAGCTTTACGATATGTAACAGACTCTTTCTAATCTCCCTGTGTCTCTGCCCCCCTGGGTGTCTTCTCCAGATGGTCGAGGGTCTTCTACAGATCTGCTTCTACACCTTTGTGAATAAAACCCTCAGTGTGGAATTCCCAGAGATGCTGGCGGAGATCATCACCAACCAGATACCAAAATTCAAAGATGGGAGCGTCAAACCTCTGCTGTTTCATCAGAAATGACTGCCTTAAACTGTGAATCAATGCCTTAAATCCTGCCCTGCACGCGTACCTCTCTGGGGCCCCAAGCATTTGCTTATTCTGCCTCTCCTTCATCACTCAGATTCAATTCCTCGTTTTTTCCTGGGACCCCTCTAGGAATTCTGCCACACCTTACCTTCCCCTCAGGCCTCAGCCATTCAGCCTAATCTCGGAGCACAATACCTGTGGCCTCTAGCCCCCTATTCCAGTCCTAGGTTTGCAAAACTTAAGTAGGAAATCCTACCGCCGACTTGTAGCCCTTCCTCTTGGCTCGCCAGGAAGAATTTGGCCTCTGAATGTCTCTTGAGCAGGATGCATTTTAGGTAGTTTTTCCAGCCTCCTCACCTTTTCCTCCACCCGTGGCCCTGTCCTCAGATCTCTAATGCTTTCTTATGATGGCCGTCTGCCTCTTACTCTCTCCTGCCTCCAGAGTTTTACTTCAGTTTTCACAAAGAAGCCAACAAACACCTTTTCCCCCCCCGACGACATGACACCTTAAATACTTTAGAACTTGCCAGGATTACCGGTTCAAGCCTAGCGTTCCTCTGCTCACCTGCCCAGCTTCTCTCTGTTTGCCCTCTCCCAGCTTCACTGCGCAGAGAATGTTCGCTTGTTGGGGTTTCCAGAGGACGGTTGGTGATGAAGAGGAAAAACAAAAACACACACGCACACACAACAAAATTGGAAACACACAGGAAAGAACCTTATTTTTCTTCTGGACCCAAGGACAGTAAGGACAAACTGTTTGCAGTTGTGATTCAGTTATTGTTTCGGAAATTACTAGAATCTGATTTATATACCAGTGGAAGAAAAAAGAAAAAAAAACAACAAAAAAAATAACCCCAACAACACAGCTATAGGAACAGTCTCCATTTATTTTATGCAGACACACCTTTCTGACCACACAAGCAGAAGTCACACTTGCACACACATATAGGAAATATAAGCAGACAAACTTTCGCTCAGCCAAATGTTTACACAGGATGTATCTGAGGGAAAACCAGTGCCTTTTAGTTTTCAAGCTTTTCATAGCCATCCTTTCAAAACCTTTGTATTTGCATAAGAATCTAATGTTGACAACCTTCTACATATTTTAGCTGTTTTAGTTTTTCCACGCTGGCAATTTCTGTTTTGTTTCCAAGCTGCCATTTTTGGTGTTTTTATTGTGGGAAGCTCTAACTCTCTCTGTTCCGATTTCCAGATGTGCATGTAAGGAAGACAGCCTATGGTACAGATTAGAAAGTATGAGAGCAGTATGAAATGTATGAAATCTTATTTTTCAAGTCTTGAAAGGTTTGATAATCACTTTAAAAGAAAAAAAAAAAAAAAAGAAAAAAAAGAAAAGAAAATTATCCCCCAAAAAAGTCCCAAAACACATTTTGTGTGTTGCTCTTTTAACCATGTGAAGTATATTCAATATACATACTGTAACTCCCAATCAGTATTAAATTGCATTGAAAGTTACAATTCCCAGATTGTATCAACAAATATAACACATAAAAAATAATTTTTCTTGAACAAGCTTCTAGAAACTGCAACCCGCTTTCGCTGAATGGACACCACTGGAATTGAAAGACATATCTAATGTTTTATAATATTTGTGGGGGAAATTGACTATAATGTTAGGAATTAGATGTTAGGAATATCAGCGACTGTAAAAATCCGTTAATTGGAATGATAAATGTTTACAGACATCTGTGATTCATTCAGATGCAATTGCACAAATGGGGTTTTTAATCAATTGCATTTGAAAAACACATCCAAGGTGTCGGAAGAAAAATACCCATAATGATTCAAGTAAACCTGGCTTTAAGCCAAAACTGTCCTTTCACTGCCAGCTGCATTCATACTGAGGTTGCAGTTTAGTAAATGGTTTAATGCAACTATATTTCAAATGTGGTTTTATCGAGATATGCTTGAAGTGACCTACCAAGCCAGATTCCCGGTCCCTACCAAATATAGCAAGGCCACACATGAATGGAAATAATTTGTTTTGTGCTTTGGAACCTAACAGGAGTACTGGGATTAGGAGTGGTTAGGTTTTGATACACAACATCATGGCCAGAAAAAGTATTTAGAGGTTTAACTGATGTCTTCAGACATAATTAATTAAACTATGTAGTACTCCTGATAGGAAAACCAAAGGCATAATATAATTTATGGGGGGAAAAAAAGTATTGCTTCACTCAAAATACCATTTTAGATGGAATAAACCCTTTAATTAGCTTAACCTCTACTTGCACAAGCAGGAATAGGGGTTTGTCATTAAAGGTGGAGTATGCGATTCTAATTCAATATACTTGTCTGTGTTCATGCTTGTGCATGTTGGTGTACAGGAGAGGTGGGAAAACAGGGCAGTGGGAGCAACATGGACAGTGAATGTAGTACATACTGATTAGCAGAATAACAATCTTTATCCAGAAACGCAGACTCCGCTTTTAAGTTGATGAACTCAACAAAGTTAAAAAAGATATATATATATATAAAAAAAAGATATATATAGTATATATTTATTTTGTATGTTAAATGCGAAAATAGATCCATAATCGATGGAACCTCTATTTTCATCTCTAAAGTTAGAATATTGTTTAAAGAAGCTGCAATTTAGTCCAAATAATTTGTGAATTGAAGCTCAGGCTGAGTGATCTACGTCACTTGGATGTGTTCCACTAGTGCCAAATGTAATAGTAAGTTTATACGTGTTTTGTTTTTTTCCTGGAGATGTGAATGAGAATTTATTCAGTTATGATTTGACATTATGTGGTTGTTGTAACTTTGCTTCAGGGTGCTCATTTATAAGAAGAATCTTCAGTGTCACACCTACACCAGCTTAAAAGTACTGATTGTTATCATGCAAGTCCGTGTATGACTGACTTTATTGTTTTCTTCTTTGGAGATTCACAAGAATAATATTGTGTTTTTTGAAATTGCAAGATGGCGCAGTTGGTTAGCACTGTTGCCTCACAACAAGAAGGTTGCCGGTTCGCGTCCCGGTGAGGACACCCGAGATCTTTCTGCGTGGAGTTTGCATGTTCTCCCCCTGCAGCGTGGGTTCTCTCCGGGTTCTCCGGCTTCCTCCCACAAGTCCAAAAACATGTTGAGGCTAATTGGTGATTCTAAATTGTCCGTAGGTGTGAATGTAAGGGTGCTTGGTTGTCTGTCTCTAAGTGTAGCCCTGTGATAGACTGGCAACCTGTCCAGGGTGTCCCCTGCCTTCGCCTAGAGTCAGCTGGGATAGACTCCAGCCCCCCCGCGACCCTAGTGAGGATTAAGTGATGTATAGATAATGGATGGATGAAATTGCAAAGTAAGCCGTAACTTCTGCTGATGTCAAACAGGTGTTGTCGGCATTTGTAATGTGAAAACATGTTCATACCAGCTTATGTGATGGCCAAAGCAAAACACATTAACAGCGCAGTTATACATTGGCTTTTGTGTAAACACAGCACCCCAGCCTCCCTCTCCAACCGCCTCCCGTAGCACTTCTACTTTTTTCCTCAGTGCTTCTCGTAGCTTTCTGCCAGGCCTCTCTGCCTAAAATGTCGACAGTATGGATTTTCAGCTGTTTGCTCTGAATTGTTCTCATCCCTCCGCAGCACATAACTCTGAATGCCAGTTAATAGACCAGGTAGCAGGTTGCCATAGAGACCAGTCATTTGTATGTTACTTACAGCTAACAGCAAAACAGGCTCTGGACGAACACAAGCCACTATTCAATAAGAGCCATCTTCTTTTTTTTTTGTTTGTTTTTTAAATCAGCCATTCTGCTAAAGGGTGGTCACTTGCAGCAGGGTTGTGTACATTGCAGGCTTTCAGCTCCACCCGCTAACTCAGTCTTGTGGCCTTGTGTTATAAAGAACATGGGTTCAATGCTGCTCATGTCGCTGTTTGTTGGTTATTCTGGGGAAGATTCGACTAAACTGTCTATTTGTTTGGGTAACTTGCATCCAGTATTACAGCTGTTCATGATGGCGGTGCTTCAGAAAACCAGCTTTAACGTGTAGATGTAACCATATCCCTGCTCATTTCTAAACAGCTATAGGTGTACATAGCAACGCTGACATATCCAGTGCAATGTAAACAGTGTCTATTATTACAAAATATTTTTACATCGACATAACCTCTATACTCCTATACAATTTTTCTCTTTTACCTTTCAACTACATGTTCGACTAAAGGCCTTGCGAAAGGGAGACAGAGAGCCATAGAAATAAGATTTCAAATCAGGAAATAGATATACCCTTAACAAATATCAATGCTTTTGGAGATTGATCTATTGTAAAATAAAATGGAAAAAAAAGACAATATTTTCTGTGATTTTGAATACATCAGCTTGATCCTCTTTGATATGACTAATTTTACTCAATCATTTTTGTACATTGAGCGAGTCAAGAAAGTAAATATTTTTCTGTTTGTTGGTTTGTGTTTGATAAAGGTAGGCGTGTTGAATACATTAGGAAGTGTTGAACATGGTTGTCTTGTGAAGTAAATGTAAATTCTACAAGTTAATGGAAAAGTCTACATGAAAAGTCACTGTGTTTTTAAAAATTATAAGGAAATGGGGGAGGGGGGGAGCGGGAGGGAGAGATGGAAGACGAGAAGGACTGGAGGAGATTTTTTTTTTTTTTTTTTTTTGCGTTATAGAAAAGTGACCAAAGCAGAGGAGAAAAAAAAATTAACAAAAGAAGTATTCAAGCAGTTACATTTTGAGTAGCACTTACTATCCAACTTCTAGTACTTCTTGTTTTATTTTAAAGATGTCTTTTGTAAAGGTCTAGGCTTTGGATCCCATGTTTATTGCTGTGAGGATTTACTGGTCACTTTAAAAATAGAAAACAAAAAAAAGATGAATCTCCGTGTGAAAGCAAATTTACCAGAGCCTGACGGAATTGCACTACCCTCATATTGGTTGATATAGTCTATTTTGTATAAAATACATGCAAATATTATCTTTAAAGATTAAGGGCAGATCATGTTTCACTGGTATATATGGCTATGGCTTTCACTGAAGTCTGTTTTGTTCGTATTTCAGTTATGTAAATGTAATCCAATGTAAAAAAAAACAACAAAAAAAAAAAAAAAAAAAAAAAAACAACAAAAACAACAAAAAATACAAAATGTTTGTTTAAAAAAACAATAGTTTGTATTACTTCTGTATTACACCTCTTCTGTAGTCAGTGTCGATATTTTCACCTATTTGATTAAATGTTGAATTAAGTTATCTGTGTTGTTCTCTGACATTGGGTTTGGCATCGTGTCAGATGATGTTTTTGTCATCGCTGGTTGAAAGTGGAAAATTGGAAAAACTGATTTCTCTTTAGTTCAAACATCTTACACAATAAAGTTTCCTGTTTTTCAACACTCAGCTACGGTGGTTTTGTGTTTTCTGTCAGATCTAAGTGATTGAAAATGACTTAGAAATGTTAGTAACTGTCATAAAATGTAAAACAGAGTTGAATGAGAAAACCAATGCTACTATTTTGTCTCTGTGTTAAGAATGAATGAAGGTGAAAGGCAGTGAGGCTAGTTTAGCATTAAGACTGAAACGACTATCCCCAAAGCTCAAAATTAGCCTCTAAAGCTAAATACCAGAGGCCTGTTCAACATCAGCTAACCATGATTATCTTTTTGTTGTCTGGCTTCACTAAACCAAGCAACCGCAATCGCGCTAAGTGGCCCCACAAAGCTTTCGGTCCAGTCAGTAAGTCAACCCAGGGCTTCCGAATTTAGCTATGGCTGCGTTCACTAAAGGGGGCAATGTTGTCACAAGCACCTCAAGGTTGTACATTATAAATTTGCCCCCAGGGTCAGCCTGTCAACGCTGAGTTCTACCATAACACCCCGAGGTATCTGAGGGCAAACATTCACCGCAAATGCCCTGAAGTGTGGAGCCATTGTGCCAACATACGCCCACTCAAAGTGTGTTGAAGATGCACACGTTTGTCAGTGGTACCAACGCTATCATTGCTCTCCACTCAGCTCTGATTTGTCTCCCTGCTTCGTCTTCTTCTTTCCCAAGTGGAAAGACTGCAATTTTGGCGCGGAGGTGGAAAGTCAGCGCTCGTCTTTGATCTTGCAGAAAGGGTGAGCGGTCCAAAAATCGCACACAGGACTAGTTAGAAGGGGCTAGCAGACACATATAAATCATGTTTTTTGCGTTTAACAGGTGCACCCTCAGAACTTCTTTATCACACCTAGTATTTGTGTTCAGCCCAGCAACTGAAAGAAAAAAAAACAAAGCTGCAACTGTTGAACTCTTTTATTCTGCACAATCTTTCACCAAAACAATAATATTTAAGGCTGTAGATAGACTTAAATGATACAAAAATCTGGGCAACAAAGATGAAATTAAGGAATTAAGTTAGTATGCTAAAAATACAAAATATAAATTTTATACTTAAAAAAAATTATACCTTATCAAATGCTATATATTTATTTACAGTCAATAAAACACCTCAAAAAGAATACAGTTTAGGATTTTTGCCATTAAGAAAGTCTCATAAATAAGAAGTTTAGATATGAACAAAGTAGTCTTATTTCACATTCAGTTTTTTCTTCTTTCTTTTTTTTTTTTTAACTCTCCCATTTGATTTTTCTTTTGAAATGCTAAAATGCTCTTTAAATTTCCTGCTGCGAAATAAATTACAACTTTCAGAAAAGGTACTACAAATGTTCACCAAGTGGTTCAAAGGAAAAAGTTCGGTGTTGACTCAGGAAATGAGTTCATTCATTGGAGCCCCAAAGCAGACCAGCCTTGATGTATGTATAAGAACAATTCTGAAAAAAATGAATGCCTTTTCTCTTCAAATCTTCTCTGAAGAACCACATCTGCATTTCATTTACTTATGAATGAAAGCCTTGGCTGTAAACTCCAGCTCCAAATGTAAATGTCTCTTCAGATAATTGTATTATTAGCACCGCCTTTGTAACTCTATATAAAAACAGAACAAGATCCACCTGGTGGGTGGTGATGAATGTGGCGCAAAGGACTGTGCCATATTTTGATTTTTTTTTTTTTTTGCTCACTCAGTGCTGTTAAGATTAACGCATCTATACTAAAGCAACAGACTGAATCCACAATGTAGCTAAAAACAGGAAAAGACAAGGTTGTATGTGATTATAATTCCAAGGGTGGTTTGAAATAGTGCAAACATGACTCAGCACTCCATACAGACTGAGGACTCACAGCTGGGCTTGTTTTAACCATCAGGATTCAGTCCATCCTCCTACACTGCACTGTAAACCACTGATCTGCTTGTGGAGCTTGTTTGGAATTTTTCTCATTTTTTTCTGTGGGCTCTGCAGGGAAAAGCATTATAAATAAGGAGAAACCCAACGCTGACCTTTCGGCGAACTGTTTCTGAGGCAACCTCATCCTGTGCTGATCTGCCCTGGGGCTTCTGCTTAACTGGAGCTCTGAAACATTAGCCAGGTTCAGTCTTGTCCCAGGGAAATACCGGACTGCCGCTGCAAGTGCTCACAAACACATTTACAGCTGTATAGCCAAACCCAATCATTTCAATCAGCTTTAAAAGCTCCAGCTTTCCAATGGGATTAGCAATCAGCCCAACAATGAGGAGGTGAACCAGCAAGTCTGAAGCTGAAGGCCACTTGCTTTTTATTATGTTCCCTGTCATCATCTCCATCATCTCCGCTGGCAGATTTCTCTTTTTCTGCCTGAATAAAAAAAGATGAGATGTTGAAGCAGTGGCAGTGCAGTTCAAACTAAGAAAGCAGGAGCTAAAAAAGAATAAAAATCACAACCCTCACAAGCTCAAAAATATCAACTCATTTATACAAGTTATTTTCTCCAACCTCCGCCCACGGTCCTCTCGCTCACTTTCACACACACAAGCACTCACACACATATTCCAGGTTCATTTCCATATCATTTTCACCAGGACTTTGGAAGCCAACCACACTAATCCAATAAAAGCTGGTCTTGTCTTCCCCGCCCCCCCAGTGCAAATTCAGTGTCTCTCCCCAGTTCGTAATGCTTCATTATGGTGTCGTATCCATTTGACACGGTTCTGCTTGGTCCAGTTTCAGTTCCCAGTCTAGTCAAGACAAGAGTCACCTCATCAACAATGGCCCACTAAGGTATAATAGAAGATCTAATGGAGTCTGTCGAGCTTTGTGCAGTTTTGGGTCGGTGGTGTCCAGTTCAGTTTGGTCTAATCCAGTCCAGAATCATCCAGTTCAGGTTTCTTTGTGGGCCTCGGGCTATAAAAATTCCACATAGTTTTCTGGTATCAGTCCTGTTCGGCCATCCAGAGTCCCTTCCAACCAACCAGGCTCCCTGGAAGCGTGAACTGGAGAGAGACAGAATGAAACATTGAAACATATAAGTGGGAAGGGGGTTAGAAGAGAGATGGAAACATGCGATAAGTACAGTTAACACTTCCACATGTTCCTCGTTGAGTGTTTCATATCTAAATATTTTGAGCAAGCACCTCCGAAATGGCAGGTGTATAGTTGCTAATTAGTGCTTAATGCAGTTTGTTGTGATTTTTAACATCCTTTGACATTCCCAATTGATTTTTTCCCCATTTGGGAAGCTGTAAATAAAACATTGAGATATAATGGACTTTGTGGATAGGGCAAATTAGAGAACAACTGTCCAATGTTTTACCTACATTCAGCAGACAAGAAGCAACATCAGGATACAGTTTATTGAAGCCCAGTTTTGATATCCACTGACTTCTGAGGGTAACAACTATGTCTCGGCTCAGCTAGTTAACACTTTTCGTTTGCTGTTTGGTGCTAAGGAGGTAACATACGACAGCGTTGGTCAGAGACTGTCACCGCTGCCTTCTGCTGAAAGCAAAGTTACAGTTAGTGAGCCAAAGCAGAACATCTGGGCCTTAAAACCAAAGCAGTGGGTTATAAGATGCTATGAAGTCCAGCAGAGCTGAGGGGAACAGAAGAATCAGATTTGTAATTTGGGAACACAAATGACAAATTTATGCAAAGACATTTTTTTTTTTTTGACTGATGGTAAGCCAAAAGAATGCTATTCTTGTGTATTGTTTCAATATTAACTCAAATACATTATCCTGTTTATTATTATTTCTCTGTTGCTGTTGGACTTTGCTGAGATTTCTGCTGATTTAGATTCAAACGTGCACATGTTCCAGTAACTCCCTCATAGGCTGCATAAAGCCGCAGAGCTTGATGTGTACAGTATGAATTCCAATAGCAGTGCAATTTTGAGGAAACAATGTAATTGAATACATTTTGGGTCACTGTGGTCTGCAGTATATTGTAATGTTCTGGCTAAAGATCCATTAAACAAAAAGTCCTCTGGGAAGATTTGGGAACATCGCTGCACAAGTAAGCTGTGTGTTCACCACATCTGTCCTCCCCTGCAGACCACACCACCATATATTAACATCAAAGAGGGAAACTGATTGTGAACCCAACATAAGGCCGTGCACTGGGTTTCTGTCTGTGCTTCGTCTTCATTGTGCTGCCTGAATGAAACCAATTTGTGCACGACTCAAAACTGATCACATTCTCCGTCTACAATAAACACACATTTTCGATAGTCCGACACCTGACTGCTTTAAAAAAATGTCCTGATGAGGTTGTAGTATGACCTCCACAGGGGCAGCTGGAATGCTACGTCCTTGGCTAACCATGAGAAGACTGCGGTGCTGAGATGCCACTTTAAAGATTGCAAGTCTTTAGGGTCACATTATGACCCAAAGAGCTGGGATGACACTGCTCTGAACTACATAACTCTTGGTGGTCTATTTAGAGACAATGTGCCAACTGGCATGACCAACAAAAGTAAATCAGAACTAATACCGAGTGTGTCTGTGTTTGCACCGTGTTTCACGCTGCGATGGCTATCCAGGTCAACTGAAAATCTGTGAGATAAGCACACAAATACTGCCTTAACAGTTTTATCATCCTTAAATTTGTTCAAATCTGGTCTTCATTAGAAGAGCTGAGCCAAAGAAAAGTGTGGAGAGATGAATGTGATTTGGGAACTTGAGATTGGAGAAATTAGGCTCACAGGGCCTGTGACTCTCTGATGGGATGAAAAAGAAAGAAAGAAAGAAAGAAAGAAAGAAAGAAAGAAAGAAAGAAAGAAAGAAAGAAAGAAAGAAAGAAAGAATCTGTTCAACACTTCCCTTTACTATCCTTTGTGCTTGTTTTTGTGTAGGGGAACTTTCATTTGTATACATGTTTTTACCCAAACCAGAGCATGCAACCTCTCTGCTCTGAAAAATATGAACATCTTGGCGGTATGCAAAAGCAATGCATTTCACTTGGCTGCATCTGTAACAGCCTTTTCTTCTTGCCAGCTTCCAACATACTGTGTGTTCATCCAAGCCCAATTTAATAAAAGGTGGTAGATAAAAATACATTTGACAAATGGGAAACTATATTACACCCTATGGATTCAGTCTCCCAGCAATTAGCTGCAAGGTGTTAATTAAAAAAATGTTTTAATTAGTGCTCATTATTCTCTGCTCCAATATGATCAACTCAAATTACACGAGGAAAAAACTGAAGGACACATGACAAGGGAACATTATTTTTTAAATTTTTATTTTAAAGAAGTATTGTTTAGGGGAAAATAGTGTTAAAGTTCATTTAGATCTAATTTTGGGCAATTAATTACTTGGATAACTAAACATATCATGAAATGTGGTATTGAGGCTAAATGACGTCCAACAAATTCCCAAGGCTGACTTTTTGTTTTGACAGCACATTGTTTCTATACACCAACCCACGTTCTTTCCCTTTTTGCTTTCTGCTGGCAAGTCCAGAGCCTGACTCACCATTCTCAAAGATGGTTCCAGCGATGAAGGACAGCTCGGAGTCATGCTCTGCTTTGCAGGCGTACAGCGCTCGAGCCTTTCTGCCTGCAATACTGCAGACGGGGAGAGAAGTTAGAGTGAGAGCAGGTTTCGTGCTGATTTATGGGGAAAAAACAATGAGCTTGGAAATTGAAATAATGCTTAATTTCAACACCAATGTACACCTAAAGTAACACCTCAAGTTACGCATACCATAAAGACAGGTCATTACTTTATATTAACGGTTTTATAACAACCTAGCTGCTATATTCACACATGAAAATGGAGGTTTTCCTGCACAAGCCAAACTTACAAGATGCGATCTTATTAGATTGTTAAGGATTTATAAAAGTTCTAGTTTTGTTTTTTATTCATGGACACAATGGCAATATATTTTAGTTTTTAAATTACAGTGACCTGTACTTAGTCTGCCACAGAATCTGTCAACTGCTATGTAAAGGTTAACAGTTGAAGGAAATACAATTCAGATCAGAACAAGAGATGTTTGCAGCTTCTACAACAGCACCGGGTCACTTGAGGCTTGAAATGTGAAGCACTGAACTATCCTGACACTGTATGTCTGCCAGGGTTCAGTTAAGTAACTGCATCCAATTAAGGTGCATTTTTATTACAATTTAAACAGAGAAGCTTACATAAGAATGACTGCTGTCTGACCTGCGTAAAAAATAGTTGAGAGCGCATCCTTGATCTAAGACACTACAAAGATTCTCTGAGGGGCAATTAGGCTTTTAAAATTCCCCCCTTTCATGGGGAAGATCAGAGGTCGCGTCCTCGACATGACAGCTCCTCCAACCTTGTAGAGTGGAAGCATCCTGCAGCAGTGGAACCCTTTGGATTAAAAAGCTACTTCTTTGCCGTTCTTCAGGAAATCAAAGTAGAAGAGCTACTAAGCTAAAATAATACTCTACTAGCATATTGCTGACAGCATTTATGTAATTTATTGAGCAGCATTCGAATGCCTGAATCAAATTTTCCAACAGGACAACACCTCAACAAACTATTGTATCTCAGTTAGAAGAAAAAAAAGTGCTTTCATTTTGTTTTCTTTCCTCTCTTTAGTCTGTCATCGGCACACAGTCACACACATTTACAGCTCAGATTTTCCTGGGATACTTCAGTCTGCTATTTCTTCACTTGATTAGTGACAAGTTGGCTTTAAACAACAAGAACCAACCTGACAGGAGAGGAGTCACTGGAGGCAGAGGATGTCGGCTGCGGGCTGGAAGGGGCAGAGAACATCGGCCAGGAAGGGGAACGTGGTGAGGTGGGACTGGGGGATGTCGCACTGATGAGAACATTAAAACAGAATGACAAGTTGGCAGAGTTATAGAGACAGAAAAAAGAAATAAATCAATCAATCGCATATGTATACTGCAGAGCTGTGGGCATTAAGCTGTAAAAGACACGTTTTTCTCACCTGGTTGGGATGCTGCCACGACTCTTTGGGTTCAGCCTGGAAAATGAAAAAGAAAAGCCAAGATGAAGTCATTGTTTCCAACCAATGAGACATATGTTAAGTATTAAAAGGTTTTTTTTGACTTACGAAAGCAAAGATAGTTATTTTAACTAGCCATACATTAATTTGTACGTTGCACTTATGAAGGGTTTACTACTTACAGACACTCTGACTGAAGAGAGACGATAATGTGCTGCACATTGACTAAAGCCACGATGTTAAATGAATGCCAGTCACCAAGATGAATACAATACACTGGTGAAGTCAAAAACAAATAAAATGACTTCACCATTTTTTTTAGTACTTACTAAGTGGTCACATGTCAAAATAATAGAACACAATAGACTACATTAGAGCTGTAATAACACGCAGTTGTGGTGTGATTGCCTCCAAGTTCTAGAAACAGTGTGCATCTAGAGTAATAAAATCTCATTTCCAAATGGTCGATGGATGTGGCGCCATAAAATATAATTCATCCCTTTATCTCAGCAAGCTGTATGCCTTCGTCGATGCATTTGTCATTCAGTTCATCTAATCTGGTGCTGCAAGATGCTGGTGAACGCACACCGCCAGCCACCAAGCGCACACAAACACACAAGGCACGGCCGGGTTTTATAACATGCCTTGAGTTCATTTTCCTTCACAAGTCTGCTTTAGTGATTAACATATACATAGATTATTACACAACTGTGTCAGAAAATTTGGACAAAACCAGAGCCAGCAGAGCCATGAGGAAACTGAACACCCACCACTTTGCTTTTACACTATTGCACTGAAAAGAGAGAGAAAAAAAAAACTCAGCCAGGCTGTTGTGCATCATTCCTGGCGACATGTGCTTCAGGATCAAAGATATTTTTTCTTTGAATTTCAATGCTCACATGCCTTAAAAGGCTGGACTGTACAATCGAGTTGTCGTTTAATGTTCATCATTAGTCACATTTAGTCAATATACAGAGAGCCATCTATAGATGCAGGCAATTATAATAATATGATAATAACCTCTCATGGGAGGTAATTAAACACAGACTATTCTCAGAGGAATCTTGTGTGCTAACCTTCCTTTTCATATACTCAAAGTGAAACACAATTTGTCTCCATTATCTAAAGGCTTCACAACTGCTTCTTGGGCCTTTTTCTTCTGATTTGTCTACCACAAGGATTTCAGATGGGAAATCAACAGAGATCCTACAATGAACTTTAAAATACCTTTCATTTCCCCTCATAATCACTGACATTATGTCGCAAGAATGGAGTTACACGGTGCTACTCAAGTCAGGACTGCCGAGGATTGCTGTATTCAGCTTAGAATTTGTGCATGTGAAGATGTCGAGCAAAAACTCTCATCAAGAGCACAGTGCAAGAAGTACATAAGTTTTGAGTGCTGCTTCTATTTACGCATTAAGTTTGCTAGAAGTTCTGTTTCAACCCATTTAAATTTTTGTCTTAAAGTTTGCTGGTCAGTTTCCAAACACACTAAACATATCGGACTGAATTGGGAGTGTTGAGAACATCTATTTTTTTGTTTCATATTTGAGATGTGGACATGGTTCCACTATAAACAAGACACTGAGATATCATCATATCATACAGTTGATATAAAGGTGCTAGGTGCAGTGCTCAGCTGCATACAGATATGGAGCAGCATTCACAATCATTTGGAGTTGCGTTTCTGGTCATCTCATGAGTATAGGCCCAGTATTCACTCGCATTTTATCTCTTTTTTGGTCTACACCAACTCCTAAGAAATAAATCTTGCTCCCTGGTGGCTATTAGGTTACTTCAAAGATTGTTCTTGCAATATTTTTTTAACATAGTCTCTTTCAACTTCAGCGCAGTTGGTCCGTCGATGTTAAAGTGTCGCTATCTCTTTGTAGAAGAAGGTTACAACTTGATACCAAATGCTCCTTAACAGCATGCATGCATGACTTTATCATCACTCTGAAAATAGCAACTACGCAAGAAGTATTTCATTTTGGGAAACAAAAGATGATGATGATGGTGCCAGTTTGGGTGAGTAAAGTGCATGGGGGCAACAGTCTAAAGCCACATTTGGCTGCTTCTGCCACCTGTGGTGTGTGGAGGGGTACATTACCATGGAGCAAAAACACAACATCTCAAAGCTTTCCTCTACGTTTTTTTTTTGTTTTTTTTTTTTTGGATGATGATATAAGGCTTTATATTATACAGTTATGCCCCAAAATGGGAGTTACGCCCTTCGTTTCTGGGTGAGGCTGAGAATTTTTCTTTCTTGTAAATGCTCCACAATGTCCAGCAAAAAGTTACCAAGTATAGCGGCTGTTTTGTACTGTAAAGGCAGCACAGAGTGGGTTTGCATAAACTTTTTTTTTTTTTTTTCCATCTGCCTGTTGCAGGTCAAAACAGCCAGAATGAGTAAGCTGCAGGCAATAAAATCAAAGCTCTTGAAGCTTTTCAAGATGTTAAAAAGCTCATCTGAGGTCAGGGAAACTGTCGACTTAGGTGAAAATTTGACGCAGTTTGTCACAGTGAGCAACATCTTTCACATGACACAGTTGTTTCATTTATGATTAATATATAAAATCTTGATTAGATCAGCTTTTCAATAGAGGCACTGTGCAACCACATGACTAGCAACAGCAGTATGCAACACTTTTTTTCTTCTGGTCTCCTCCATTCATTTTTTTTTACAGCATCACATCAATGAGTCAGAACATTAATATGTGTCTTCTTATCCAACTCTCTGCATACATACATACATATGGTTGCCACAGCAACGTTGCTGAGTTTTAAGGTCATATTTGTGATATTATGGTTTCTCTCTCTCTGAGAGCAAATGCATGACTCACCTAAATAACAGCTGTTCATACTTTAACAAACATGGACAGAAAGAAGAAAAATTATGAACGTACTTTTCTTCTTTTTTTTTTTGGGGATCATTCTGTCCAGCTGCTGTTTGCCGGCTGATAATATTCATTTTTACTTTGTAACAGAATCTCATTTTACCAGGTGACAAATGTAGACAGAGGGGTATAATTCATTCTTGATCTTGACTTCATGGTAAACAGACAGAGCTGTGACTGGGATGTGAATGAACTGGTGACGGAAAAAATAAAGTCCTTTTATTCTTGTGAATAGTGCATTAAATCAGCCTGCTTTTTATTTGCTGGTATAACTGATTTGCATCCTGCTGTGCAGATAACTACCAGGACCAGCGTTACTCTCCATAAGACAGAATTAACAAGCTCAATCAGGCACACTCGTGAATTTTATCGCTGCGTCTCTCTCATTGTGGTATTTGTTTATTTGTCACCTGTTTTGATTATCACTGAGAGACCGATTCACCTTCTCTCTTCATTTCTCACTCACAGTCCAATCAACGTGCTCGCTCTCATCTCCTTCGTCTTTTCCAGTTTCTTTTTGACCTTTCCAGCCCTCTTTTACCTATTCTTCTTTTCCTCCCTCCATCTGAGATGTTGGAGAACGGTTTCCGGGTGACAATCAAGCTATTTTGATCCCCGATATAAATCAGTCGTGGTCTCTTTGCTCTCACATTTGCAAGCATAGTGCACAAAAATAAAATAAATAAATAAAAAACACTACAGGGTACAAAGTAAATCAACTGGTTTCAAGTAAATGTAGTCTCCCCTTCCCACTCACAGCACATCTGACAGCTGATTTAATTAAACTGATGTCTCTCCCCTTCCTTCTGATAGGTCATCAATTCACTGAGTTACGACACACCCACACATACAATGCACGCTTCCATGTCATTACATTTGAGTGCAAAGGCATAAAAGCTGCCTACAATCAAACATCTTTAGACAATGCATGTTGGTCAACATTTTCACAGCTTTAAATCTATCTGACTACCAATACTTTTCAAAGTGAAGCAATATTTTTCTCTGTAACCAATATGATGTGAATATCTGTATGCATTTTTTTTTTCCTGCTGATACAATAAAAAGGTTAAATTCTTTAATCCTTCTGGGGTGTAACACCATCATGCAGTGCTCGCCTTGACTTTTTCCAGTGTCATAAATACGGTTTACAACCTAGTTAAGATCCGTTAAGTAGGAATGTATCATCTGCTGCCTAAAAGGCTCGATGCAAAATAAATCAGCATGACCCGTGTGACCTGCAAATACCAAGTTTGGACTCCAGAAAAAACACAAGGGTGCAAAAAGTGCTCAGAAATATTTCAATAATGAGAATCGTAAATTTTAGGTGCTACTGTTGTCACAGAGGTGTGTGACTGAGCCTGACATCATGTGTATGCTTTTATAACAAGAGCAAGATGCTGTGGATTAAAGTAATATAGAGGGAAGGTAAGCGTTTAGAGAAGTCTATCTATACAAATGACGCATGAATATATCTGTTGCCTCAAGGCCATTATGACGGACTGATACTATCGCATCTTTTTCCAGTAGAGCTGCACACTTACTCCTGTAATTTGCCTAAATAATTTACCTCAGTGACAAGTGAGCACGATCTTTGCTTGCCCTTAACTTCAGACCTTTCCTCTCCTTCCCACCAAATTCTCAAACTTCAATTTCGAGCAGCCAAAGGACACAGAGAAACAGAAATGTCGGAGAGATAAAATCATACAAAACTTTCTCTGATCTTAATGCCACTGGCAAAACAACAACAATACAAAAAAAAAGATCCAGTGTTTCCAGGATTGCAGCTTTAAGATGCATTAGAAGCCTGAAGTTGAATCCCCTATGAGTGACTGGCAGCGCTCAGTGTAATATCTGCAAGATCTGAGAGCGTGAGAAAGCTGCACTGTGTCTGCATTGTGCTGAAGGCAAAAAGGGAAAGAAAAAAAAATGGGAGAAAATATCAAGCATCTCCATCAATCAAAAGCAAGCAGATGCAGACGCGTGTAACCTGGTGACTGACACTGTATGCATGTGTGTAAAAGGGCATTTTGCTGTGAGGCGGAAAAAAATCTTAATGGTTCACAAAGAAGATCTTTTTCAGCTGATAACTCCCTATCCAAAAACTTCTCCAAATGCAAA